AAATTTGTTTTTGAATAACTTTTCCAGTAGCAGAAAATCATATACGAAAGTTTGAAAAACAAATCAGTATGTCAGTAAATGTTTCGGACTAGACGAGAAAAAAAAAACGTTTACCTGAGTTATATTCAGAAAATGCTATAAAATACATTCAATTTATTATTTTATCAGGGACATTACAGTTAGATAAAAAAAACCTTTAAACAATTAGTTGGTGGACAGTACAGTAAAAATATAAAAAATGTTACTGTTATAGATATCTGCACGGTTATTCCAGCAAAGGAAGACTGCAGGAACATCTCAAATAATGCGTTAACTTTCACAAAAAAATCCTGCCTAGCAAAAATGAATAATATTGAAATTTAATAATTATGACCATAAACTAAACATTACCTGTGTTATTTATGCTGATTTCAAATGTCTACTCGTTTCTGTGGTTGGAGCTGAAAATAATCGGAAGAAATTCAGTACTGGAAAAATACAACAATTTATTCCTGTCAGAGTAGCTTATAAATTGGTTTGTTGCGCTAGCGATAAATTTTCATCTCTAATCGATTTATACAGATGTGAAAATCCTGTCGTATGGTTACTAGCAAATTAAATAGATGAAGTTAATAAAATTTCAAACAGAATAATTAAAACAGCTCCGACGAGAATAATGTCTAAACTACAGCTTGATTTCAATGGACCAGTTAATTGCCATAATTGTGAAACGTTACTGGCGGGTTCCAAAAAAGGAGTTTGTGATAAGATAAGAGATTATTGTTATTTGACTGGTAAATATCATGGAGCAGTTCACAGCAGTTGTATTTTAAAATTTCATGCTCCAGATTTTATTCCTATATTTTTATATGACTTCCGTGGCTATTACAATCATATCATTGTAGAAGCTTTTCGTGTTGCAAATATGAAAGCTGAACTAAAATTAAATAACGTAATAAAACGTATACCAAATAAGTTTAAAAAGTGCATGTCGGTCACGCTCAAAAATACGCTTTATTGTCAGTCTGCAATTTATGGCATTATTGTTAGATGAGCTTGTTAAAGTTTGCAGCAATTTCGCTCACTTAAATAAGTTGCTACCGTGACAACTATGTCGATCTACATAAAAGGTGTCTTTCCGTACGAGTATCTCGATGATTGGAGCAGATTTGATGAAACTTCCCTGCCCTACAAAGATAAATTTTATCCGCTACTCAGAAATGAAAATATCGTAGATGACGAGTATAAGTATGGACAAAGATATTTATAATAAATTTAGTTGTAAAACATATGGTGATTATCACGATTTATATTAGAAAACATATGTTTTTGCTGGTAGATTTTTTGAACGTTTGTGTCAAGTTAGTCATCCAAATTACGGATTAGACCCCTGTTTATATTATTCTACTCAAGGATGGTCCAGGGACGCACTACTAAACAAGCAAATTAAATCTCTTTACAGACGTCGATATGTTTAATTTTATTGAAAAATGAGGCGGAATTAGCAATATAACTAAACAATATGCAGTAGCTAATAATACATATTTGATAAATCATGATAAAAATTTCCCATCCGATCATATCAATTATATAGACAAAAGTAACTTGTATGGATTTGAAATGTCAGAGCCAATGCCTCTTTAGTGGGTTTCATTGTATTACTCCAGATCAATTTCTTATAGAAACTCAAAACGATTTATCGAGAAATATTAATATCGATTTTTCCGATATTTCATATTTTGTTGAAGTTTACCTAGATTATCCTAGTTGGTTACACAATCAACATAACTACTGCCAGTTGTGTGCTGAGTCAATGATAAGTAATTCTAGTTTATTATCTCCTTAGCAACGAGCATTGACCACAGCAAATACTTCGATCGTTAATAAGTTAGTTCATTTTTTCTAAATAAAAGAAATTGCGTTTTACAGTACACAAATTTAAAACAAGCAGTAGATGCTGGACTAATTCTGTGAAAAGTCCATCGCTTGCTAATGTTTAGTCAGTGGAGGTGGAGAGCAAATTATATTGGGCTAAACACGAAACGTCGTGTTGTGGCAAAACAAATTTGTGTTTATTAGGTCAATGGAAAAATTGTAAAAGGGTTTTGTTAGAAATTGTTCATGACATCAATCGCAGAAATAAATCAGTTAACGAAGATGGTTTTGTTTGTACGAACATATTTAATGACAATCTTGGTGCAATACGAAGACGAAACACAAATTTAAAGTTACATAAACCAATCTATGTTGTTTCAGCTGTAATTGATATGTCATTAGGCTGATGTACTATTTTCACAAAAAAATTCCAAATAGCGGAAGCCAGATTTAAAGTTGCTATTTACTGATAAGGAGTCGATAGTTTATAAAATGTGAAGATGTCTATCAGGATATTAGAATTAATAAAAAGCTATTTGATGTATCAGATTATGCAGCATGTAGTGAATCTCAAGATAATTCTAGTAAGAAAGTTATTGGATAAATTAAAGAAGAAATTATGTTTGTGCTGGTGAGAGAGTTTGTTTCTTTAAAAAGACACATGTATACTGTCATATTAGATGATAATAAACTAACAAAGAAAGCGATCGATATTCTACGAGGATATGTGAAACAGATGATGAATTTTGATGACTTCAAAACAAATCTAAACCATAGCGTCAGTTTTATTAAAACTAATGTCATTAGAACAAATCGTCAAAAACTCAAAACGAATACAATTATAAAACGTAGACTATGTGATTTTAATGATAAACGGTATCGCAGAGACGAAATTAATATATTAGCTCTTGGACATTATGCAAGTAACTTTGTCAACACATCAGAAAAAAAGTTTGAAAAGTTAACATTAGTCGATGTAGTTAATTCGAAAATGAAATAAATGATTAATTACCAGCAATTATCCAGTCATTCCAGGCGTGAATAGAATATTTGTTACACTCTCCCGCATTATCAACACGTTGTGGGTGCATTTTTTTGCACCCCTTATGTGATTATCATGGGGCTGTGGACGTATAGAAAATGCATGTTTGTACTGTCCATCTTGTAAATATCTGTAAATATATATATATATATATATATATATATATATATATATATATATATATATATATATATATATATATATATATATATATATATATATATATATATACATATATATAAATACGTATATATATGTATACGTATAAATACGTATAAATACGTATATATATGTAAATACGCTACTGTAAATACGTTACTGTAAATATGATTGCTGTTAATACGTTCTGTAAATATGCTTGCTGTAATTACGCTACTGTAATTAAGATTCTGTATTTGTGCTGTTTTTAATCATATATATATATATAATCATAATAATATGACTATAAGCATAATCATCCTTAGTCATGGTTATTTGTTGTGCTTTCCTTAATTAAGATATAATCATATGCATATTATCATAATCTTATGTCTATAATCAAAATCACATGTATATACTCAACCTTAATTAGGGTTATATGTAGTGATGTACTTAATTAGGATATAATCATATGTATATAATAATAATCTTAATCATTCTTAATTAAGAGAATATTTTGTGCTGTCCGTAATATAAGTTTATAATAAAGACTATGTGTTGTGCCGTCTACGAAGCATTTTCTATATAATTGTTGTAAATTTGCTGTTGTAAACATGCTGCTGTATACACACTTGAAAATTCCTCTTAGGACAATTATTCTTAATGTTTTAAAAGAATATATATAAAGTTATATATATATATATATATATATATATATATATATATATATATATATATATATATATATATATATATATATATATATATATAACTTTAGAAACATCGTTTAGAAATAACTTTAGAAACATCGTTACCCAAACAAATATTAACAATATTATCAATAAATGTCATGAAATCATCTACCCAATGCGTTATTCTCATATCGTTTTCAGTAGTGAATAACCATACTGACCCATATTTTGTTGATATATGACAACTAAATCTTTCAATACAATCGCTTATTATTTTAGGTTGTATACCAGTAAAAGCTGATGCTGATTTGATGGAATTAAATCTCTCACACAATCTGTTTGTTAGATCAATCCCAGCATGTCGGATTGAGAATGATATTATATGAGATTTCATTTGTTTAATATGAAATTTTGTCTAATAAGTGTAGGACTGTAATAGTGTTATAGGTATCTGAGTTGTTCCTATTTCAAAGACCCCTTCCCCTACCCTGGAAAAAATATATTTTTTCTGAAATATGAGTTATCATTTTGAGCTAACAAGGCGGCTGACAAAAATGTTAAAGAATAATGTTTGGAAGAGATCTGGGTCTCAGAGAGGACCATCAACTATAAATACTATCGCTAGATGTTCTTTCCAGGTGTCGTTGTAGATGACGACATCGATGTACGCATCACTATTATCTATAGCAGAGTTAATCATCATATTCATCAAGCGCTGGAAGGTGCTTGGAGAACACTTCATCCTGAACGGCATTATAAGGGACCAAGACTGCTAAATGGCAAGTCAATTGCGGTAATACTTGTTGACAAGCATGAAAAGATCTACAAAATTTACAAACATAACCTTTATTTGTTTGCCAATAAAAGTGAGTCCTAATAATAAATGAATATTCTGAATAGGTCAAGAAGACACAATTCCGACGATCACATCTCACAGAAACTGATGGCAAATTTGCACAGTGGAGAGGAACATTAACAAATCTGCACTAAAATCTCTGACTTGCAACACTTTCATTAGAAGAAATCTCAGAAAAGGCAAAGTACCTAATAATAAAGACTCTGTATCCATTAGCGTTTTTATAGGGATTGGCCTAAACACCAAAGTGTTATATAGAACCTTTCAACATGAATGGTTCATAATTGTCCATGATAAAATCATACTAGTGTTTATTAGACATGAATACTTGACCTTGACCTTGATTTAAAATATTTATTTATTATTTTATCTCTCCTCTTTCTCCAATAAAATTTGTTCTTTTTCTTTCTCCAATTGTAACTTCCGGTAGACTAGTGGTTAAAACGTCCGTCTTTGATGCGGGAGGTCGCGGGTTCAATCCATGGTCGAGTCATATCAAGACTTACAGAAATGGTACTAACAGCTGCCTCGCTTGGCGATCAGCATTCAGAGGTTTGTAATAGGATTGGTCGGCCTAGAGTCAGGATAATATGACTGGGTGGGACATCATTCTACATGTCTGCGGCATGCCAACCCAGTATTAGATATCACTATAAACTGCCACACTGCAGATATCATAATGATATAACTGAAAACATTTTCACAGCAATTGTAACTGCAGTTGTTCTTTTTCTTTCTGAAGTTCCAGCTCCCTTAACTCTAATTAATTTTTTTTTATTTCAAGTTCAATTCCTTTACCTTTGTATCAGAGATTGATACAGACTTACTGATCGAAGCCAAACTTTTTATCCAAAACACTCTTCTCTACCATATAGTAAATCATAATGTTGTTAATTTCTTACTTCGTTAAGGAAAATCGTGCTGAAGAAAGATCGTATTTTCTGGAAAGTTCAAACAATTAATCTTTGTTCAAACTTTTCAATTGCTCCTGAGTAGGACTAGAACGAAACGTTTCCACTTTTGAAGACATTGTCAATAAAAAGCTGTAATTTTCCAAATATTTCAAAGAAAGTATGAAATAGTACTTGAGATAAAGAAGCCAGGGGAATTAAAATTAAAAAACCCAACAATTTTCTTAAAGATATTAGCTAAAATTCTTATAACCCGAAAGTGAGGACCCAATTTTCTTTTTTTAGTGTAGGCTCATTCAAACGTAAGAAACGAAAAGAGTGAAGCCAAGAAGCTTTGACAGTTTTAGCAAAAATTATTTATATCCCTCGACAACACGCAACAAATTTGAAAAAAAAAACACTTACAGGTTTTGAATATAATCCAAAATCTGATCATGGAATCTAAACTTATAACTCCTTTCACTAAAAAGTCCTAAATTAATCCAAGTTCGAATCCCGGCGAAGTTCCAAGATGGTGGACGATGGCCTTATATAATTGCAGTATTGATGTGCGAAAGGTCCCTAGATGAATTTTGTGAATCAAGAATAATATTCTTGCTTTAGACTTCTGAATAATTTCCACTGAATGTCTTTGTCCAAAAATTTGATGCAAAAGATCACTTATGTTTGTTTTCTAGGGAATATAAATTATTAAATCCAAGAAACAGAAGAACTTTAAAATCAACTGGCAAGAACACTAAGCAAACATTTAGCTGTTAAAAGTGTTGTTTACGACTGAATCAGAACCAGTGAAATTGAGTATTAAAACCACTATAAACCCAATTTCAGACCACGTGATGGGTCACGTGATCACTTACTACAAGTCCTTCATCACTTAGGCCAACAAAACCCTATGTAAGAATCTCTTATTCCCATAGTGGAAATGAATTAAAAAGTTTGTTTGCAACTAAAATAACGTAAGCAAAGAATGACCTTTATTTGGATCAATGGCTTTCACTGAGTGTTTACGAACTTCCGAACTAAGGTCTGCTAAACGTAAAATTGGAGCAATAATATTATTTACTAGAAGTAAACTGGATTTTCAGAATAAGGTCGAACCCAGTGAATAAAGTTATCATTATAACAACATGCAATGAAATAAAAATAAGCTAAAACATTTAAAATCAACACACAAGTAATTAAATTACATATACGTAAAATATTATTTGACTTCATAATCTTCATAGCCATACAAAAGAAGACTGTTCCCGTAACTAAGAATGATATATGAAATAATGGATTTGAAATGATTCATACTACTTAGAGAATAAGAAAAATGAAACATTATACATATCTGACTGTTGGCAATAAAAACATAATTTGAAAGAACTACAAGTCTAAAAAAAAATGATAAAATGGCTGACTGAGGTGATCTTATCATATAATCCTAGAAACAGAAATGCATTGGACTGGTGGTCATTGCGGTAAAATTTGCTCTTAGACTAGAGACTATACACTCAATAATAGACTGAAGACAGAAATTCGAATTAGAAGTGTAATGAAACTAACACAGTTATTTTAGAACGCTTTATCTTTCATCAATTTGCATATTACGAAAATAAATAATTCTCGCACATTTTATGTCACATTGAAAGTTAATTTTAATTTCAAATTAGTCGTCTGGTAATATGTTTCAAATTTCTACTCCATATATAAGACGCCTCTCACGAAATGACACATACTAACATTTGTTTCCTAATACACACCAAAAATTTGACATTTCCTGTAACACAATTGGTATGTCATCAAAGAGTGCATATATCTGTCTCTCTCTCTATCTATCTATCTATCTATCTATCTATCTATCTATCTATCTATCTATCTATCTATCTATCTATCTATCTATCTATCTATCTATCTATCTATCTATCTATCTATCTATCTATCTATCTATCTATCTATCTATCTATCTATCTATCTATCTATCTATCTATCTATCTATCTATCTATCTATCTATCTATCTATCTATCTATCTATCTATCTATCTATCTATCTATCTATCTATCTATCTATCTATCTATCTTTTCCACAGCGGAATTTTTTTTTAGTTTCAAATTACTTACCTGTAGATGACATGACCCATCTCATAACTGATGTGTTGCGCTTGAACCTTGCAGATTTAAAGCATAAGATAATACGTGACTAAAATGGGAAATGAACTAATTCGTATGCATTTGTATCAGTACATTATGCTCTAATTTGCAAGATGTTCGCTTTAGACTGGCAATATCCATCTTGGACTTTAAAAAAATAATTTAGTGAATATTAATGACAAGATAAATGTTCGCCACTTGAAATGAGACGTACTCTAGAATATAAATTAGCAGAGCAAGCGTGGCTCTATTCCTGTAATTGCTGACACTAAATCTGGTCATCATATTTACAGGACCTGAATATTTCTTCCACATATGACATGAAAACAGTAATAAAAGGTTCCTTTTCATATGATAGTTGCTTCTAGGGCTTCAGAAACTTGCCTTGTGGTCTATAACCTTTATATAACTTGTTTTAAAACGGCTTTCTAGTCGTCCTATTTTACGGACTTCTTTGGTATAAACGATAGCCAATAATCAGCATTGCTTTGAAGTAGACAAAGCCCAAAATATACATTGTTAGAACAAATACATTATAAAAAATTGTCATATGGTGTCGGTTGTAATTATTATATGAACTTTTTCTTCTTTAGTGATTAAGACATTTCCGGTTTTGCTATTATCTGAAATTAGTTACATGTTGGAAGTAGTTAAAGGGGACGATATAGGGTCTATGAGGCCTCAGTGTTAAATTTGGTCGTTAAATTTGGTTAAATTTGCTCGTTTCCTTCTGAATTGTATGGGAATTGAACATGGCAGGACTGTATAGGGTTAGTGGGAATTTAACATAGGAAATGTATAGCGACAATGAATTGGGACTCTCAAGGGTCTATAGGAATGGGAGAGAGGTGACGTCATGGTAATGGACACTGACAACAATGTTGTAAGTTGTTGGCCACAATTTGGCGGAACTGTACAAGGGGTTGACGTGAATACGCATATTCTCTAGGTAAGGATAACGACAATAGAGAGATAGACTTAGAAACAATTAAAGAGACACAAAAGTAGACAAACAAAATATATACGTATATTTATGAACATAAATCTATCACACCGAAAATCGACTAAGGAGATATGTATGCGAGAGAGAGAGAGAGAGAGAGAGAGAGAGAGAGAGAGAGAGAGAGAGAGAGAGAGAGATCTTCTCGAGGTAATGGAGTGACTCTGAATAGTGACTTTATGTTTCTTCTTCTTTTTCTAATATCTTCTACTTCACCAGCATTTTTCGCCACGACAATCTTCTTCTCCTTTTCATGTTGTTTCCTCTTTCTCCTTCTCCTTTTTCCTCTTCTCGTTTTTCTCTTCTTTCAAATTTCTTTTTCATTCCACCTTTTCATTTGTTCTTTATCTTCTTCGTCATCTTCTCTTCCTTTTCCTGTTTGATTAGGTATTTCAGTCTTACCTTGGCCTTCTTCAAATTAATAATTTCCATATTGAGTCTGTGAAGACTAAAGGCACCAAACTTCAATTTAATAATACATTTCTCCACCATCCTAAGGTCATCCACTAACTCTTATGTCATTATTTTGTTGAAATAGATCTCGCCATTTTTTCTTATTCAATATGAAATGGCGCGAATGAGAAACGCTGCATATGACAAGTCTCAAGCACTGACGTGAATTAAAACGTCCTCTCTTACCAACTACCTATATCAACTACCGAACTATGCACAGGGATAAGAGTGCTAATCTAAAATAATATTTTGTACAAAAGCTTTATGCTTTCTATGTATATGTTGTGGAAAAGGAAATCTTTATTTACTAAACACACCATTGCTACAATTGCATCAGCAAAAGAGCTGGCCTGAAAATAAAGGGGATTAAAGGTTCTTTGAAGATCTCCTTGAAATAGCCAGTGTAACTAATGAGGAAACCGCGGAGATATTTCTTTTCTTTAAAATTATAAACTTATGCAAAATTCGAAGTTGTACAGTGCTACCTAAAAACAAATATAGGAATTTATGCAGCTATTTTTGTTATTTTAATATTATTATTATGTATGATGTTCTGAAACAAAAATGGTACCTTAACATTGATTTTATGCATGAAAATAAGCTAATTATTCTTATTTTGCTCATATTTACATAATTAGTCCTGAGGCATATTTGTGTGAGTAGTGACCTTAATAATGGAGAAATTGGAAGTCATAGAATATGGGAATAAAGTCAACTTAAATTTAAAACTGTTACATTTAGTAAACGAAATATATAGCGAAAATGTTTCTTTTCATTTATTTGCAATGAAATTACAAGTAAATTATAACAAGCAAAATTGCTTTCTTTCATATTAAACAATATTCTAACATTTTGCCCTTTGACCTTTGACCTTTATGACCCTCACCTGTTCCATCCCTCTTCAAACTATAAGATTTATTGTTGACATCTCAGGAATAATTACGGCTAGTTTCATGTTCCCTTCTTTCAGATTAACAGTGGAAGCTCTGCTGACGT